GTGTCAAGTGTTAGTGTCTTGGCTTTGTACACTAAGAAATTTAAACTGGAGAAGGATTCACTGTTGATGGATGCTAAGAATATGGACTTTGGCTCATATTCTCTCAGGTAAATGAAAACAACTCTTACGCTGTCATGACTCATGCCCTTTACGGATTTGAGAAGTAAATAAAGTATTTAAGTAAATAAACACTTGACTTAAGTGTTTAACTAAATCCTGCTTTAATATCTTTCATAGATCAGTCTTCCCCAGCCTAGTATATAGCAGTGTTGGAACTACAATTTTTCCAGCCAGCATGAATAAAGACTTGTAAATAATTTTTTTTCCCCAGAGAAATTGCTTAATTCTAAAAAGAATATCATTAGCATGTTTTACTCCCAGACTACTCACCCTGAGGTATGCAGCCCCTTACACTTCAGAAAGAGTTCCATAAACTCAGTGGAATATCAACAGAAATTGTAGAAGTACAGCAGATTATTTTATGCTGGATACCAATTTTTATTTATTTATTTTCAAATTTATATGTGCCACCCATCTCACTGTACAAGTGATTCTAGGCAGCATGACAAGTAAAACACTATTAAATCTTAGAAAAAATATATAGGTTAAGAACTACAAAAGGCTAACAAATTAAAAAGTTAAAACTACAGCACAAACTAAAAAGGTGGAGAGAGCATCCTCAGGTTACCAGCCACCCCTAGTGTTGCAAAGCCCCATTGGGTCTTCTTGCAAGTTGGCAGAGTCAGGCCTCAGTACCCTTTCAGAAGAGCGGGGGCCAATCTCACCTCAGGATGACATTCCAGAGGGTGGCAGCCACGGCAGAAAAGGCTCTCTTCCTGGACCCGATCAGTCAAACTCTAGGCGTGGGGTCCATAATATACCCTTCCTGCTGGATCAGACGGGACAGGTTGATATAATGGAGAGGAGACAGTTCGTCAGGCAACCTGGGCCCGTGCCATGAAGGGCTTTAAAGGTCATAACCAACACCTTGAATTGGACCCAGAAGTAGACCGACAGCAGAGGTGTTACATGCACAATCTAGAGGCGCCCATAACTGCCCACGCCAATGCATTCTGCACCAGCTGCAGCTTCCAAATACTTTTCAAAGGCAGCCCCATGTGCAGTGCGTTGCAGTAGTCCGTGTGTGTAAGGAGAGCTTTACTGTCTCGTGCAAACATTCCTGATCTTCTGTATGTACAAGACGTGCTGCTGCTCCTGTCTAACACAGAGGTTCCTTCTTAGAACATTTGGAAGGTGTTCTGATTGTTTTTAACAAACATTAGTTCAAGACTAGTATGGAAATGCTCTCTTATCTTAGCCAGTGGAATACATCTGATCCTTTGGCTCTGAGGCTTGCTGATGACATAGTTTATAACCAGTGGGCTATATATGAATACGCTTGTTTGAAAAAAAATAATAATCCCAAGATGCTCCTTTAAATAACTGCAAAGATTTAAGTAATGCCTGCTGTACAAAAAATATTTTCCCCAAATTTCTACCAGTGTAACCCAGAATATTTATTCCGCAAATAAAGCTGTTGATACAGTGAACCTCCTCATCTAATGTAAAATTGTGATGCAGTCCAAAATGTTTTAGAGCACACCTAGAAAGAGATCAGTTCGGCGCTTAAGGGAAAACAAGAGATTTGAATGCCTTTTGTTAGCTTCTGGAAGATGTAACCTTGTGTGATGGACATGCTATTCAGATGTGGCTGAGGCAGCTAAAGCAACCATTAGTGCAGGACAAGAAGGAAAGTGTTTCAGGATTGAAAAGGATGCCCAAATTATTTGGACACCTCATATATAAAGAGCTTTACATTTATAATAAGGACCAGATACACTTTTTCATAGCTGTATGGAAATCTCAACAATCCTAATTGTAAATGGTTGGAAGTCCAGAAAACCTGCTCTTTTATGTTTCTACAAAATTACTGAAAAAGTTTGTGGCTTCTAAAGAGGCCATCCAATGTTCAAAGCAACTTTATGTATTAGAAACACCTAGCGCAGGAAAGGATCTTGTTTTTTTAAGTGATCAGGCCTATCCAGGCCAAATCACAGTGGGCCTTGCTCCTCATTTTGCCTGGCCAATACTTGCTATCCCAGTTACCATGCCATGAAGTTTGAAATCCCTGTGGTAGATGAAAAAGTAATTAAAAGAGGTATACTTGTATTTTGTCTAACCCTAACAGTAATCATATCATTAACTTTATTTGCAGGGAGATCTACAAAATTCATTTATCATTATAAGGAGTCCCAAATCTGCAAAGTTTGAGTTAGTGATCTAGCTTTCTCAATGTCATACTCCATTAAATCCATTAGTTTTGAGGATGCCGCAGAAGTCTCCAATTATGGAGCAATTATGAGCAGCCTATGGCAAATTCTTAAATCAGACTAAGCCAGGATTTTTAAACCAGCTTTCTGCTTTAGAAATCCTGGATGGTTCAGGGTAAATTTCCATACAAATTGTCTGAAATAATGCTGCTGCTCTTGTATCAGAATGGCAAGTGTGGCTCTTTTGCGCCCTCTCTTGGAGTCAACTCCGCAATACAATTTGGTAGACATGAATTGTTGAAGGTAGTCTAAGAAACAATGGGTTAAGTCCAAATTTAGGTATATGGAATGAGACTGGCTAAGTGGAGTTCCCCAACAATTCCTCTTTCCTTTTTACTAATCAGTTTCCAGTCTATTAAAAAAATAAAATACCATTCACAGAAAGTGTTTTGGCCTTCCTATTGCATCTAAACATGCTAACTCTTTTCTCAAAATGGAAAATGAAACTTTGGATCCAGGACAAAGATACAGGGATCAGGACTGATTTGTAAGGTAATTTTTGCCCATGTAATCCATTACCTTCCCTCAAACTTGTGCCATGCAGATGTGTTAAAGCACAACTTTAACTCCTACCATCTTCAGCTAGTATAATGGCTGTCGTCCATACACCTGTACGGCACAAAATCAGATTTTCAAAAACTAAGGCTGCTATTTCACTACTGGCATTAAATTGAGCATAAGCTCCACATCAAATCTTACTACTCATCTATTAAACAAGAGGACTGACTTTTGTGCACATATATAGAGTTCTCCTGTAAATAAACAGAAGATTAAAAAGCCAATTTCTTCATGTCATGTGCACCAGCTCTCCTGCCACCACACCTTTTGCAAAATATGCCTTTAAAAAAATGAAAAAAATATGGCATTTTTCTTGTTAAGTAAGTGATCAGGGAAAACAAATGAGTTTGTCAATAAAGTTTAGCAGAAAAGCTTAAGGTTTACTAAATGTTCAAGGGAAGAAAAAGGAACTGTGGAACAGGAAACAGGGTGGTGGACCCCCTAAAGGGCAGAGGGAATGCAGTTGCACCCTACAAGATGACAGAAAGGTCATGATAGCCAATGGCAGACTACTACAAAAATGGAAACCGACACATCGCTAAACAGGTCCATCAGCCCATGAAGTCTGGTAGCTGCCAGAAGCATAAATCAGGGATGTGGCACAACGCTTCCAAGATTTACCAATCACACTGACAATTATTTTCTGCAAATCTACCTGGGAACAAATGATACTGCAAAAAATAACTACAAATATACCACATTGACTTTGATGATTTAGAAAGGAAATTCAAGATCACATTAAAGAGGCCCAGAAAGGGAAAAAATACTACAACTGAATGACCAGCTATTGAAACTATTGCCAGAGAGAACTGGGTTTTTTGGAACCCTGGTCTGAGTTAATCTCTATCAGTGTTTCTCAACCTTGGCACCTTTAAGATGTGTGGACTTCAACTCACAGAATCTTCCAGCCAGAACTGAGAAACACTGATTTAAATGATTGAACTGAAGACAGGTAATGAGTTGCATTTCACAAGGACTAGTAAATACATGTTTAGCCAAAGCATAACTAGCTTGGTCAGTGTGACTTTAAACTGAATCCTGTGGAGGTAGAAAGGGTTTGGTCCTATGGGGCATCTTACTAAATGAAAAATCAAAAAGATTGTTGGCAAATCAATTTTATGGCCTTCATTTTCTAGAAGCTAATTTTCACTGTATGGGGAAATGAGTTTGAATGTAAAGTGCAAATGAGGAACTTCTAATAGAGCAGTTGAAATGTGACTGAATAGGTTTAGCTGAGATCTGATCTCATTGCAATACCACAACTGAAAGATACAATTTGTTCAAAAGGACAAATGCAATAGAAAGGGGTAGTTGCACTGTATTAAACATTTTCATATCTACTGTACAAGAGAATGGAACTAGTGGCATATTTGAGAGTATCTGGGTTAAAACATATAGGAATAAAAGCAGTACTGTTGTTGGTGTCTATTGCCAACCATTCAAACAAAGAATAATTGCAGATTCCAAAAACAAATTGCAGATATTTCAAAGACAAGAAGTAGTAGTGATGAGGGACTTTAATTACCTGGACTTATTATGATAAAGTTCATCAAGCATGGTCCTTCTTGACAACTTTGTCTATTAGCAGATGAAAGAAAATACTAACAGTACTAATCAATAGGGAGGTCAAGTAAATGCAAATAGCAGGAACACTGGGGGAAAGGGCAATATAATGATGAAGTTTTTAAGAGTAATTAGCTGAGTGTTGCCAAATGCATAACTTAGATTTGAAAAAAGTTGTGCAAACAATTTCACTAAGAAAAAACATGCAACTACAGAAAAAAAGTTTAGTGAAAATCTAAAAAACCCAAGTAGAGAAAGGGATAGGTGATCAAGGAAGAATACACACAGCCCTGAACTGAAATGATAGATCAGGGAAGTGAAAACTCAGAATGAGCTGAGGTTAATGCGTTGTCGCTAAGATCAAGAAAAAGGGATTTATTGAATATGTTGAAAATACAAAATATATAGCTCTTCAATAAAAAAAATATGTAATAGCTCTTCAGTGAAGACAAAATGCTAACAGGTAACAAAGAAAAAGCAGAGCCATTCAGCTATTTTTTTAACTTAAGATCTGTCTTAGTTTTTGCATATTAACCTTGAGAAATCATAACAAACTGGCATAATGCCAGATGACCAAACAGCAAATGCTGTCTCTGCCTTGAAAAAGGGAAACAAGGAAGATCTGAAAACTACAGACCAGTCAGCCTGACATCAATGCCTGGGAAGATTCTAGAGATCTTTAAAGAGATCAATCTGTGAGCACTTCAAAAACCATGTGGTAATTATCAGAAGTCACTATGGATTTGAGACCAAGTTTTCCCAGACTATGTATCTTTTGTCAGTGTGGTAACTTATTCATGCTATCATTTACAAAGTATCCAATGGCATTATGGCTGACAAGTAATGGGATCCTGATGACGTGACAATTAAGTGTATATACAACTGTCTCAAACTGTACTCAAAGTGCTCATCAATGATTCCTCATCCAATTGCAGCAAGGCTTTTGCACAAAGCTTAGTCCTGGATCCTCAACTGTACGGTACGTAATACTTATCTGCTGTTACCTTCTGGGGTAAGCAATATTGGTCCAAAACACAGAAAAATAACAAGAAGCAGAAAGCAAAAGAAATGAAAGGCAGAAGATAAGAAGGAAAAAAATCACTAAATGTAATTTAATGGAATATTATTCACTGTACCTCTCCATACCTTTCTATCCAAATCATCCTTGTTTCCATCATCTCCATACACTGATTCATACATTATATTTTTCATACTTGATTCATATATTGTCACATCTCTCTTCTTAAGGATCTCATCAACTCCAACTAAGTGTCTTTTTTCATTCTTCCTTTCCTCTTACCCCATCTTACTTCATATATTTTGCAATTTGGTCCTGTATCATTTTCTCTATATGACCAACCACGTCAACATACTTATTTGGTATTAGTCACACACACTCACATTCCCAATCAAAATGCCTAGCACCACAGGTGTTCCTTATACATTTATCCATAAATACATTAATCAACCAAAGGAATATCATGCTTGTCTTATTCCTTGCTTAATGTTGAACTGTTCACTAAGTATTCCTTTTATTCTTATGCTTGCTTTACTTCTATCATAAACTGTTCTTACCACATTCAGCAACCAATCTTCAACTCCATATTTGCACAGTTCCATAATTTATGCTTATTCACCCTACCATACGCTTTCTCTAAATCAACGAATGTACAATAAGCTTTCTCACAGCCATGTACTTCTTAGTATTTTGCTGAAGAATAAAAATCTGCACATTGCACTTCCTAAAATTTCCTGTCTCTCTCATATCCTTTTGATCAGAATTCTATCAAATACTTTCCAAAACACACTTAACAGACAAATCACTCTGTAGTTTTTGGAGTCACTCTCATTACTTTCTTTTGTGTAAGAGAACAGTAAGAACATTCACACACACATTAAACATAATACAGTAATTCTATAAGCAAACAACGTCTCTATTTTTATATCAATCCAATTTCACCTTCTAAACCTGCAGGCTTACCATTTTTTCAACAGCATTTATGACTTCTTTTCCAGTGTTTTTCCCAGACACTAACATTCAGTTCAGTTCAGTTCCATTCTCTGACGTATCACTCATTTCCATATAAACATCTAAAACGTTCCTTCCAATATTCCCTCGCTTCTATCCCAAATCATTTCAACACTTTGTTCTTAACTCGAGACATTCTGCTGGAGGCTCTTGTTCAGTCTTAGCTCTTTCACTACATTATTTGCAACAATCTTCTTCTTTCTGTCTCACTCCTATAGGTAAAGTGTATAGAGTAATATCCTGTGTTTATCTTTTGCAGCAATCATTCTCTTGCATGTATTTTTTCCTTATCCAGAATAACTTTCACCTCCAAGTATCTTTTTTCATACTTCCAATTAACACAACTCAGCATACTACTTTAGCACTCTGTTCCAAGCAACTTCAGTTCATCTTTAAGTCCACTTTCCATACATTCTTTTGAGAGAATAACCCTACTTTCTAATACTTTTTCTACACCACTCATACTTTCTCTTCCTGCAGTTCCATTCTGACTTCATTTTTTCCATATCCATTTTTTCCTAAGAGTTTTTTATATGAATTATATACAGAGTCACACATTTGACTCTGGGCAGCTTACAAGATTAAAAACACACAAACCCACCAAACACAACCCCCCAGTGCCCAAGATTGAGTCAACAATGGATGTAAAGTTTAGAAATCAGGCACTGTAGTCAACTAAAAGCAACTTACAAAGAGAGAGAGAAAGATGTGGAATTCAACTGAGCAAATATGATAAAAAACATACAATTAGGTGAGATAGTAAGAGCGCCGGAACAAAAATGTTTTCATTTCACCAATACAGCGTCTTTCCCTTTTATAATGTGGCAGTTTCCAGTCCTTGTTTGTCTTGAAAGGTTTGTTTTAATAGGAAGCACGTGGCACTGATCGTAGGCAACACCTGATCAGTTTCTACAAACCCAGAGATCAACTGATGCATCTGTTCATTGACTTTCATTGAAGACATCATTTTCTCCCAAAAAGCCTTGCATACTGCAATAGTAGAACACATGTACTTATAAAAGACAGAATATATAGAGGTATTTGCGGAATCTTTAGTGAATTGTTCTACACAGCAAAGTACAAGCATCTCAGAAGATGTATCTGAGAAAACCACTAATTGAGATTCACTGATAGTAGTAACATTCCAGTGTTCTTTGTAAGTTAAAAATGGTTGAAATGAAATCACTCATCTAATTTTCTATGAGGATACAAGAATGTATTTTAAACCACCACTGAAAGTATTTTTGTTGAATACTTTAATTTTTTCCAATATTTTAAAGCTTCCACAGCACTCAAATTTTCATACAAAAACTATCTTAGTATATTTACATACATTGCTTTAAACGTTCAAAAGTCTTTGCACAGTAGTAGTGGAGTGTCAAAGCATTTCACAATGATTACAGACTTCAACCCAAATTCACATGCAGTCCACCACGTTGCTAGAGCCGTGACCCATATCACGAATTTGACTGCCCAGGCAAGCGCACACAGCAACTCCTGCCCCAGCTCGGCAGTGAGACACAGGGCCCACAAGCTCCCATCTGAAAAGAAAAGCATAAGAAATGCAAGTCAAGTTAATTTGCTTTTTCCTCATCTTAATATGTTTAGGTTAAAAAAATAGTTAAAAGCTTTTTTAAAAGTTTAGGTTGCAGGCTAAATACATCTCAATCTTATGTACTGATCCAATTTAAAAATACTTTTATTTTGGTGTCTATTTAAATACTTAAGTTCCAATTAAACACAGGAAGAAAAGTTTGCTGAAGACAGAACAGTAAAGACCACATTTAAACAATGATGGGGTTCATATATCACTCTAAGCCACAATGTGAAATATTGTGAAATTGTGGTTTATAAGGCATGGCTTATGGCTTAGCATGTTGAAATCTAGTGAACAGAAATGAATCCAAACTATAATTAAACAAATATAATTCATGACACATATGACTTCAGTCACTGGATGGGTTCCACACTGCACTTAATCGTAAACTATGGTTTGAGTCACAGTGGCCGAATTAACATAGCAAGCTAAGCTAAAATGAGAACCAAAAATCATATTATGGCTTAACGCAATGGATGAACAAATCGTTTAAAAAAATCACTAATTGAAAAGGAGTGCATTTAGGGCCCAATATATTTAAAAACAAGATTTCAGAATTGCCTAAGGACAAAATGTGAACATAACCATTAAACTTCCTGGAGTAAACAAGCTCCATGTAGGAACGAATACTTTCAGATTTGGAAGACAAAGTGAAAACTGGTACATCTTGTACTCAAACTGCAACGCCCACTACTTAGACTCTTAATTGACAAGTATGCAGTTTTTATGAACTTCCAAGTCTATTCTTGTACCTAAGTATTAAATTTTGCTGAATATTTTTCCTACAATGTCTACCTCCATCTTATACTAAAACATGTTCCACAATGAACTGTGTGGGAAAAAAAGCAGTAGGAGAGCAGGTACACATATACCACCCCACATATAACGTATTAGGCTTGTATTCCAGTGTCTCCAAAGCCTCCTTGATGCTACCAATCAATGTAAAAGCCAAAGCTAGATATAGAAGATTATGTCTTATTTCTGGCCTATGCCATTTATAGACATAATTTTTTCAGCTTTTTAAGGAAACAATTCATAGACAAAAGCACCAAATTTGAAATCTTTGTGTGCATTTTTCCTAATATATAAACTTTTGAAAACAATTTTACTAAAGGTAAGCTATGCAGCTTTTAAGCTAAAACTACATCCTGAAGAATAGAAAAGGCTTAATGCCAATCCACACCTTAATGTGTGATGTTTCAAATGCCTTAAAACTAGCCTCTCCTTCCACACCATTCAATAGCCTTCATAAAGAGTTTTGCCTCCTCACAAGAACAAGTGCTTGCTTAAAACTCAATACCTCTAGCTGCTCCAGATTCAAGAACACTTGACCTCCTCAAGGTTGATTCAAACCCCAAAATGTACAGATTTATAATGAGTCAAAGAACTGCTCAATGGGTAGTGTAAAAAAAATGAAAATGATACATTAAAGGTGACTATACCAAAGTCTTCCTACTTTTAATAAGCCAATTGCTACTTCTACTGAACAAGCCCAAGAGGGCTGTGAAAAATCACCCAAAGAGACATTTCATAATGTAAAGAGCGCAGAGTACTTTCCTTTCAAATTGTTAAAGTAGCTGTATCATTTGCAAGACATAGTTTTGTATGTGGTCCTCCACATTGTGAACCACTACTTTCAAAAGCTTTGAGTAAAAAGAAGAGGGTTTTAATTTACCTGTTCGCTACCGGATCAAAGGTTTCCACTGTGTTCAGGTAAGCATTCCCATTATGTCCTCCAACAGCAAAAATTTTGCCCATTAATGTTGCTATGCCAACTCCACCCCTAGGAGTTGTTAGTTCTGCTACATATTCCCACTTATTAGTACGAGGGTCAAATCTCTCAACCGAGCTAAGTGGAGAATTATCATCAAAGCCACCTGCACAAAGACATATAGACAGGAACATGAGTCTTTCAGAATCTAAAGTCTAGCCAGTCTTTGTAGTTAACAGTTTTATATATGCTGTTTTATGGACTAACAATATAGGATGCATACCATATATTCTGTTATTCAAACATCACACAAATGCAACAGATCTGCTACGTGAATTGTTCACACAAGCAATGACAGGTTTATTCTAAGAACTGGATTACCTATCACAACTATTTCTATCCCAGGAAAAACTATTACTTTAGTCTAACATTTGCAAACTAACATTACCAGGTATAATAATGATACATGCATCTGGCAGAAACCCTCGTGGGCAGACAGGTGGGGAGCTGATTAGCAAGTAACATAACAGAAAGCAAACACTGGACCCTCCAGAAATGAAGAAACCTGCTGAAGTCCATTCTCATTCTCTTGAGATTCAGGGACTGGGTTTAAAACCAAAACAGACTCTTTGGAGCCTAAGCTGTCCAAACTCAATGTGCCTAATCAACAATCTCAACCTACTTCTCCAATCCCCACACCTGCTCCTTCATCAGAGCAGTCTTTATGCTCAACAGTCATAGAGTCTGCAGACATGCATACTTTGCTGCAATGGTTCAGTCAAAAGAAGTCTTCCGCTCATGACAATTTGCTTCTATCATTTAAGCTCAAACAAAACTATGGGAATATACGGGGGTCAATAGTGAGAAAGGTCTGAACATTACTCACCTACCACATATAAACAGCCATGAAGTTCACTAACCCCATTGCCAGCTCTCCTTTGACCCATTTCTTTCACTTCTATCCATTTATCAAGATGAGGATCATATTTCTCCACACTAGAGAGAGAAGCCACACCATCATTTCCCCCAACAGCATATACGTGGTTCTGAAATGAGAAAAAGAATAAGATTCTTACATAGTAATCACTATATAAATTCTTACACACAAACAAATATATACACTACTGTGCAAAAGTTTTAGGC